CGCTGAAGAAGTCAAAGTTGACCCATGCAAAATTTCAGCAATCACTGAATAGAAAACTCCACGCAATACACGTGAGGTACGGAGTTTTCTTGGACTCGCTGGTTATTATCGTCGCTTCGTGAAGGATTTCTCTCGAATCGCTTCACCACTTCATAAATTGATGAAGAAGGATGTCAAGTTTGCTTGGACAGAAGCTTGCCAGAAAAGCTTCGAACAATTGAAAGAATGTTTGACTCAAGCACCTGTGTTAATTCAACTAACACCTGGTATTGAATACACAGTTTTCAGTGATGCATCACACCAAGGACTAGGGTGTGTACTGATGTAGGAAGGCAAGGTCATAACTTATGCATCACGACAATTGAAACCTCATGAATGTAATTATCCAACTCATGATTTGGAGTTCGTAGCTGTTGTTCTTGCATTGAAAATTTGGAGACATTATTTATATGGCGAGACGACTCACATATTCACTGATCACAAGAGTTTACAGTATTTGATGAGCCAGAAGGAGTTAAACCTTTAATAGAGATGTGGCTAAAGTGGATTAAGGATTATGACTATCACATCGCTTATCATCCTGGTAAAGCAAATGTGGTAGCCGATGCTCTTAGTCATAAGACTCTTGCTGAACTCCGCATACGACCCACATTGGATCAAGATATCATTTCAGCACAGCATCAAGATACGTTTTGTCTCGAAACACGTGAGCTTGTTTCCAAGGGAGAGAAACAAGACGTCTCTGTTCGAGATAATGGTACATTATACTATCGAGATCGTTTGGTAGTACCATCAAGTGATGTGAGAGATCGCTTATTGCATGAAGCTCACAGAACCATGTATACCATGCATCCCGGAAGTAACAAAATGTTCCAGGATCTGAAGAAACATTATTGGTGGTCAGCCATGAAAAGGAAGATTACTGAATTCATATCGAGGTGTATGACTTGTCAGCAAGTCAAAGTCGAACATCAGGTACCTACAGGACTTTTGTAGGAGATCACCATCCCTGAGTGGAAATGGGACTGCATTACGATGGATTTCATAGTCAGATTACCATTGTCTCAAAAGAAGAATGATGCAGTATGGGTTATTGTTGATCGTTTGACAAAATCGGTGCATTTTTTACCAATTTAACGAGATTTTACACTATAACGTCTGGATAAGTTGTATATCCGTGAGATTATCAGACCACATGGAGTACCATCCATCATTTCAGACCGTGATCCTCGTTTTACCTCCCAATTTTAGAAGAGCTTACAGAAAGATCTTGACTCTAAACCACATTTTAGTACAGCTTTTCATCCTCAGATTGAAGGAGCATGCGCCATTGATTTTGGAAGCAATTAGGAAAAATATTTACCTCTGATGGAATTTGCCTTTAACAATAGTTATCAGGCAAGTATCAAAATGGCTCCGTATGAGGCACTGTACAGAAGGAAATGTCAAACACTAGTTAGTTGGACTGAATTGAGTGAGAGAAAGCTCGAAAGTCCAGAACTAGTGCGAGAAATAGAGGAAAAAGTTAAGTTGATCAGAGAACGACTTCAAATAGCATCAGATAGACAGAAACCATATGCAGACCTCAAGCAACGCGACAACGAATATGCTGTTGGTGACAGGGTATTCTTGAAATTTTCTCCTTGGAAGAAAGTTTTACGCTTTGGCAAAAAGGGGAAACTCAGTCCGAGTTTTATAGGCCCATACTGTTACAATTCTCGTACGGATTACAACGGACGGGGAAAATTAACGGCCCCGAAAATAAAAATAAATAAAATTCTAAATTTAAAATTTATTCAGAATATTACAAAATAAATAAAGTTGGAAAATAAATTTCTATATATTCAAACGGCCTTGTTGTACGATGACATTAAGCACTGGACAGCGAGGACGTTAAGAACTGGACAGCGAGGTCTTTAAGCACTGGACAGCGATTCAAAGACGTTATGGACAGGGCTGCGAGGACATTATGCACTGGGCAGGGAGGACATTATGCACTAGGACAGAATGCAGCGAGGTCTTTATGTACTAGTCCTGCAAAGAAAACACCACGGAAGGACAGCGGAGTCGCCGGAGCTGTCCTTAAGGTAGTAGTGCCCGCCTACCGTACCAGAAAAACGTGGGCACTCTCCTCCCAGGATAAAACCGCTATCGTGTGTGGAGATTGTACGGACCAACCACACACCATCGAACAAGAACAACGTAGGAACGTTGACGACCAAAAACTTTAAGGGAGATGGCCGGAAAATTTGGCTGGAAAATCAAGAGCTCTCTCTAAATATTAGACAAGAAAGTTTTCCCTTTCTTTTTCCTTTCTTTCTCACTTATGGCACACAAGAAAAGAGAAGAGAGCCTTTGATTTTTATAGCTAAGCTATTTTAAAGAGTGTAGCCTATACACAATAAAAGCTTAGTAATAATCATGGCATTTGTGGAACACTAATGGTGTGTTAATGGTGATTAATTAGCCATTAACACGTCCGTTACGCTACGCTCCGTTTAAAATTTGTCCCGAATAATTGGAGATTAATGGCCAATTAACTTCGTAAAAATGGACTAATTTTAAACAATACGTAAAATTAATAAAAGAAGATTGGTTCAGAAAAATTGCAAAATTGCAATCCTTACCATATTCTTTTATTAACGGGTTAACTCTAAAAATCAATTTCTCATTCACCCTCTACCATTTTTGGCATATAAATTGTCAAAACATTTATCTCATTTAAGAGAACACACATCCATTAATTGACGGTAAAAACCGTTAGTGGACCTATTGACAAATATACCCAAGTTGGTCCATTTAATGCTTATTAAAAATGCCAAAAATTCCAACACATACAATGTCACAGAACGTGTGGGACCTGTAGCCTACAGGTTGAAATTGCCACTAGAGCTAAACAAGATTCACGATATTTTTCATGTATCGATGTTGAGGAGATACAGATCAGATCCCTCTTAAATTATTCCAAGAGAGTGTTTCACGAAGAATCTTTCCTATGAAGAGGAACATGTAGAGATACTTGCACGAGAAGTTCGAGTATTGAGAAACAAAACTGTGCCTTTAGTTAAGGTGCTTTGGAGAAGTCACTCAATTAAAGAAGCAACCTGGAAAACTGAGGAATCCATGTGATCTCAATATCCACAACTTTTCAGCGATCAATGATCAGGTAATTTCGAGGACGAAATTATTTTAAAGAAGAGAGATTGTAATGCCTCGAATTTAGGTCTAAAAGAATTAATTAATTTAAATATTAATTAATGAATGAGAAAAACCTGAACATTGAAAAATAAAAGTTTTCAGAAAAATATTTTAATTATATCAAAATTTAAGCTTTGAGAGTTTGATTCCAAAAACGCGATCCGTTTTCAATTCCGAAAAATTTGGGCAAAAAGCGCATACCATTTTAGCCAGTTTATCAGTTACTGTTGAGTCACAAAATGTTATATTTTATTTCTTCATTTTTTAGTACTTTTAATATGTTTTATATGCATTTTATCTCTCCTTATCTCTCCTTATTATATAAAACATAGAATAGAGTTAGGTACCCCTTAATTTTGTGGTTTTTTTCCATCCAAAATAATTGTACTTTTAGGCTTTAGAGTTGTACCATACCAAAATACTCCCCACTATGCCCCACCGTTAGAAACTCCATTAATAATTCCAAAAAGCTTCTGCCTATCAATCCAAACGCTACCCTGCTATAGAGGAGTCAATGCGCTTAATATTACTGCAATAACATCACTGGTGCGATGCCATTTCATTCTTTACTGTTATTATCCGATTAAATGCTACCGATATCATGGCATAGGAGTAAATGATTGAAATGGCGTTGCAATTTCATGGAATTTGAGAGATTCACGCTGAGTTGCCAAGGTGTTTTTTTGATTTCCGCCTTCCCCAATAAATATCAGGTAATTAATTTTCATCAATTTTAAATAATATTTGGCCGTTTGGTTGGTTTGAGGGCTGTAAATTCTAGAAAATACTCCTAATCAATAATAATGTTAGCAGCCGTTACAATTTTGACAATCCTGCCGCTATTTATAATTGATTTTTGCAGTTGGAATGAATAGCAGTCCAGAGGTTTGCATCCAGGTTAGTCCATTGTTTTAGAGTTTTTTTTTGAAATCCACCGTTTTTGTTTTTTGAATGATTTTCCGAGCAATTGTGATGCTTATTTGCAATTACCCAATTTGTTTTCAATTACCAAACGAATAATCTTTTTTAAAATTAATTGCAGGTTCAATTTCATTTGCTCTATATTTCAACATCATTGTTAAGGTATGTATTATTTCTTTACTTGTGTAGAGTTGTAATAATGCTTTGGGGGAAGCTTTGTGGAACCCAACGTGTGGTTGGGGATGGTGTTAGCACATGTTTTAATAATACTGCCACTTTGATTTTGGAAATCCTTTTGCAAAGCATTGAATATTTTGTCAAAATTCAAGATTTGTAGTCAAGCCCAAGTCATTTTAAAGGCAATCTGCTGTTTGGTGGGTGGTTGGGAACTGGATTTGGTGAGTGGGTAAAAATATAATTTTTCTAGGTTTATTTTCATGTCCAGAAGTGGCTTTATATTGGGTTTGTTCAATTATTCTCCTTCTTTTCACAAACCCTCTTTGTTTTTCTGAGTTGAAAAGTATTTTGATATTATATTTTATTACTCATTTTAGATTTTAAATTGATATCCATTCACAGTATACTACCCCTATTTTAGTTTATTATTGAATAGATTAAGGTTGTTTATTTCTTTCCTGTTCATGCAGAAGATAAAGGCTTTTTATTTTTTAAGGTTGCTCATATTATTAAGATAAGTTCATACACAACAGTTTGCTTAAATCATTGTTTCATTGGATGCAACATTGTGTTTTCATTAATAAGGAAACAACATAGCCAGTAGTACATGAAAAACAACAACAAACTGGAAGTTATTTTAACGGGACAACAGAGTAGGTATAAAACATGAAACAACAAAGTACTGTCAAGTACCTTTTTACAGACTATAAAAAGAAACAAACTTTTAATCTGGCCCATTCTCAAAGGTTGTTTACTTTTTTCGAATCTTCACACTGGCTATTGGTTTCTTGGCCAAGGGAGTTTGCATGTGTTCAAAGTCCTTAGAAACATCTTGGTTCATATTAGCAGTGGGTGAAGTTGAGCTTTCACCAGTAGACTGTTTCTAAACAGCATCATTCCCGATTGAGCCCTCACACGCATTTAAGTGAAAAGACTATGTGATGCCTTTCTTTGGGTTACTGTTAACACTGTCCTACATCAAATAATTTGTTTTCAGTTCCAACTACATACAATAAGATGAATAAAAGTGCTTATAACTGTGTGTTAGAGATGGCAGGCAAATATTGTCCCATAATCATTTTGGGATTAATTATGTTGTGAACTGTATAGTTTTTTTCATTAAAACTGGAATGTGATTTTTTGACTTCCAACTCAATGATAGACTTAAACACAGTAGAAATTTTAGAGTCATCACCCTATAATTAAATTCTAAATCATTAGTAAAAAAAACAATTTGCTTACGAATTTCTTTGGTTTTTTATATGTTCAAGGGATGGCAACAAGAAAACTGATTACGCATATTAAAGACAACAACCAAGAATGGATGTGCAAAGTGCGGGTTGTGGAGAAGCGTAATATAAGAGATTCACAGTTTAGTCCCAATAAGTATAGACCGTTTATCTTGCAAGATGAAGAGGTAAGTCTAATATTCTTGTAATGGTATCAAAGAATGAAACCCACTAAAGTTATTCGATTAGTTTATATGTTTATTAATTTATGTACTTTATTTAATATAGGGAACAAAAGTATTTGCCATGGCAAACAGCAGAGACATTGATCAAGTTGATCAAGTACTTGATTTGAATAAAACTTACAACATAACTAATGCGGTTGTGTTGCCAAGTAAATAAAATGTACCACCGCCATCGCCACATTACAAGTATGTTTGGATGCTCAGTAGGCAGACTTATATTGAAAAAGTCCCCGATTCAGATGAAATTGAAATATCAAATGAGCAAGAAGATACACTAACAGCATTTCATGAGTTCTACAACCTTATTGGAACTAAGTGTCCCATAAGTAAGTAATATATTTCAATTTATTTATAAAGGATTACATAGTTTATATATCGAAAATCATTTTTCAATGTGCTTTTATTTAGATTTCATGGCCATTGTTCTTCAAAAGATGCCCCGAGAATATATTTCAGTTAAAGAGACGGCAAAGACAGCATACGAATTCACAATTGTCAATGAGGAGTAAGCAATTTTTAGCCGGAATGCATTTTAATATTTTTGTACATATAACCAACGTTTGAAATGATTACCTTGACCAGATTGAAGCCAATGTTACTGACGTTATGGGAAGACTTTGCCATTTATCAAGGGAAGGAACTCATGTCTGTGTTGGATAGTGGCCGATTCCCAATAATTTTGGGAAAGAGGGTTATTGTCAACAACTTTAATGGTAAACCATTATTTACCAACGTACATATTTTCAGAATTATACTAAAAAAACATTGCTAAATTAATACGGCGTATGACAGGTGTTTCCCTATGTACTCGATCCGATTCCATCTTTGAAGTGAATCCCACGAATCCAAGATTTGAATCCCTTAAAAATTGGTATAAAAGTACTACTCTTATTAAGATAACTACATGCTTAACCATATAAATTGAAAGCAAGCTAAAAATAATAAATCACATTAACAGGCGAGATGAGAGCATTGATCTTATGAAGAGGTACATCGACCTGAAGACATATAAACATGCCTTAATTGCGCTTGCATATCCTCCTGGCCAACCAAAGACCAAAGTTGTTAACATTGCCGAATTGAATATCCAGGTATGAATCGAGCATCAGCACTAGAAATGTGATTTCTAAAAAAACCGCTACAAAACGTCAACATTTTGATTAATGTCTCCACATTTAGGGCAAAGGAGTTTGGGTGGAAGTACATGTGCGAATTATAGACGACGCGGCAAGTTTCTACATTGGTTGACTATTGTAATCGAAAAGTCTGTGGCCTGGAAGGGGGAAGCTATAGATGTTTGGATTGTGGCAATCCAAATGCACGCGCTGAAAAGAAGTGAGTATTGGTAAATAATTTATAATCACCTACAATGTTTATATTACAGTTTACATTAAGTTCATCGGTTCAATTTTAGGTACAAGATGGAAGTTGAGTTGAGTGATGAAACGGGACAAATAGTAGGAACCATTTTCGATGAAGATTTCAACCGCCTGTTGCAAATCACAAACACAATTCATCGTTCAGGATCAATTGACATTGCAAAGCTTCAAGCAAAGATGGATGGAAAGAAGTTTTTTTGTGAAGTCAGAGTTGACAGAAAACAGTTCCCTGGAAAAAGTAAGCAAACTTACACTATCAATGGTGTTTGTGAAAATGTTAAGGAGTCACAACCAGTGGGCGTTCTGGCAAATGATGAGGGACCCAGTACTGGACGCCGGATTAAAAGAACCTTGACCTTTGAAGAGCCATTTGAGGAGCATGAAGGAATTATAAATCCTGCCATTGAAGAAAGATGTGGAGCAAATGATGAGGCAACGAGTATTGGAGGAAGTATTATAAGAAACTTGAGTTTCGATGGAGCAATTAAGCAGTCTGAAGGAATTATAAATCCAGCCCTTGAAGAAGCAAGCCCACAAGAAAACCCATCCAAGAAACGTAGAACATTAGACTTTTAGGCTTTTACACTAAAACAATTCAAAGTCACTGTTTTGAATTTTTTTACAGCTTGCTTTGTTCACTTTTGTTTGAACCAGATGAGGATAATTCCTAGATCTTTACAATTAATAATAAATACTTTGCATTATTACTGACTGGTGTTGCTACATTTTATGATTTACATACATTATACATGATTTTTAACACTCACCTATACTAAATGGAACATGCACCTAAATGACTTTTGAAAATGGTGCAGTTTTTATTTCCTTATTGTGAGTGACTAATATTATAGGTGTGGTCTACTTTTTTGAAAGCTGAAACTCAAGATATACACATTAGAGGCTAGGGCGTGCTAGACTATGAAAACCTGCCTTGGTCATACAAATACAAATTTTGAACTTTTTTCCTCCATTATTGTTGTGTGTGGACTTTCCACATTTCATTTTGATCCTTAATTACCAAAGCTATTGAAGAACTAAGTATCTTATTTCTTTGTTGAAATAAATATTTCCGGATCAGGAATCACCGGTTTCTACTGCTCACATGTGTGCATATTGGCATGTTTATGACTTTCTTCTTTTTGTCTTATTTTTTGTTCTCTTAAGTTTAGATCAGTTCATTACAATTTCAAAAAAATCACAGGTCAACACTACAAGTCTGCAACACACAGGTCAGTTTCCTAGAGTATATTATTAAGAAATTTGTTTGAATTTTCTGTTTTTAGTAAAAATGCTTTTTTACTTAAAATATGAACTCTTATTGCTCAGATAAGCATTTACATTGAACTAAGAGAATATATCTCTATGTTTAGGATGATTAGTTTTAAAAGATTTTGGATTTTAACAACCTGTTTTGAAGAAAAAACTGCACTATTTGTGCCCATTTGCATGCAGTTTTTGTTTTCCAGAAGTGCTTCTTTGTTGAACTGTCAATGTTTATTGTTGAATCTATACTATCACATGACTGCTTGCTGATTTTCTATAAAACTTGAGGTTATTCTTGCTAAATTTTGAACTTTTGTAGCTGAAATTTGCATAGATAGGTGCTTCATCTAGAAACATGTATCAAGTTTTTTTCAATCTGATTTTTATTCATATAAGCTGCAATTTGCAAAATCTGATTATGAAATTAGATTTCTACCTTAAAATTGCATATAAAAAGCTCCAAAGTAAATTTTTATTGCCTAACTTGACTTCATTATGTTTGGTGATTTAAAAAAACACACATACTTCATTTTTTAAAACAGCATACCAGTAGCAACGGTAAACAGATCTCATAACGGAATACCGGTCATGCAATAGTGCATTGATGTTAACCAAAAACCCACACCCAAAAAACACATTCAAACTCAAACCTACAACCTACCCCCCAAGTAACCAAACCCAAACCTAGCGTAAAACACAAGACTCAACACCCTGACCCAAATACAACCCAACCTAGAGTCTATCATAAAACCCACCCCAAAACGCACCGACAAAAAAAATAAATGTAAACCCAACCCACAATCTACCCTTAAAGCAGACCCAAAATCCAACCTGACCCAAAAACCAAGAAACAAATATCCTAAGCCAGTACCTAACCAAAAAACCCTACTCAAACCAAAACCTAGAACCTAAGGAGAAGTAACCTGAACTAGAACCCAACATATGTCAGCCATATGCTCATGAAAGTGATTACTCTCTGTATTTCTTAGTACCATTTTAATTTCTTTTGGTGTCTATATTGTTTATTATACAATGCTTTGAGGGAAATTGGATGTGAATATATACTGTTCAATCAAAGGTACTGCTAAATGTGTGAGAAGTAAAAAGAATATGGTTGGGGAAAAAACCGCTGCTGCTGTTCAGATTGTTCATACTCAAATACAGCGGTATTAAATGCTACAGTGTATTGCATTATTATGATTACATGAGAAATATGACAAATAAACTTTTGCTTTGATGTAATTGTCTATCAAATTCTTAATTTCAAATCTAAATTGACAATATATACGGCCTACCAATCAACACCTCGTGCAAGTAGAACAGAAAAATGTTATTTCTTCTGTCGCTAATATGTACTCAGATGTTATCATGGATTCTGTACAACAACATCCATCTTAACTGATCCTTTTTTTTCCTTCTAGAGATGGGCAAATATTAATTGATCACTTTTCATCTCAACTTTTAAATTGACCACACCTATTCTTATCCAAATATAAAACCTTTCCAAAATACACATATTATTTTAAATGTTTTTTTACACCCCAGGGGTAATCCTTGCAGCAGATTATAATACATACAACCAGGAGCGGATGACACCGAAGTTTAAGTCAAAGTGAATTAACCAGGTACTCCACCATTTCATTTGAATTTGAAAATACGATATTCAAATTAAATCAAATAACAACAATCAAACAACAGTATTAATGGCAAGCAATAATTCCTTACTTACAACAAGAATATTTTGATGAACTACAATTAAATGAAATGACAGTTTATTATCATTTCATAATTTTAATTTGAAAATAATGATACTCTTAATTGCTTTTTAAAAACCTATCACAACCCTATAAAACCATACATCCACAACTTACTTTTTCCTTGCTTACATACGACTAAACCTTCAAACAATCATAATAATGTATACGTTTTGCTTATAGTTCATGTCTGATTTTGTTTGGATTTGTCTTATGTAAACACACCTCTTTTTAAGAAACGCAAGGCATCCTTGGAAACGGACATCAAAGGTCATAGGAAATCTATCCCTCCCTACTTCAGGTGGAAAGGAACTTAGCCAAGGCCAAATTGTTTAAAGTTCCAGCGGCAGGGAAAAGTAATCACACCGTACAGACCACCATTTTTCTGTGCTTATCTTTTTCAAAGCCAAGGTACTTTCTCAAACTCATTCTCTTAAGGTTTTGTGTATGTGTTTTGGAAGTGGTGTTCTACTATTGATTGTTGGGCTGGATTTGCGGTTTGGATATGCATTTTTGATTTTACCAAATCATGTGTATGCTTTTTATTGTGATTTAGGGATACTTTTGCGGGTTTCTCTGAGTACTCGATCATATATAACTAGAGATCGACTTTTTTTCCTAAATAAAAATTGCGACTATTGAGAGAAATAATTACACACATTGAAGAAAGGGAAAAAAAGACTAAGAAACTCAGAGGATAAGGCTAAAAAGGGATGGTATTTGGAATGATTTATATTCTGGTTTAGAAGTCTTACGTAGTCACTTTACATTAACGTCTGTCAAATATGGTTGGCATGTTCAACTTTAATATTTGAGACAGTTTTTTTTGATAGGTTTTACTGGCACATTTGGGATTACATTTTGACTTTTGGTAATACTATTTTCTTTCATAATACCATGACACCACTCTTACAAAACATAGGTTTTTCTATGTGCAGTGTCTTATTAAAACAACACCATCTTTTCAATGGCAAACCAAGCGTACGCTCACTAGGAAAATCAAATGTCATCAAAATCTTAGTTCTCCTTGCATAACAAATTACCTGTAATAGAAAATACGAACAGAAAAATCAATGACCTCACTCACCTCACGACTTTCAATTACCTGTAATCTACATTTGACTTTTACATTACAATTTTTAGATTCACTATTAGGCTGACTACTTTTAGGGTGATTTGCAGGATTGAATTTTAATAACGTTTTTGGCACTGATTTTACGGACAAGATTTGGGAAATCAGGGTTTCGACTATTAGCATTTCATTAAGGCATTCAGGTATGTTGTTTGCTTACGGATTATTGCTTTTCTAATTCTTTTTTAAAAAACACAATATCCAATATGGAACTGCATTATAAGTTTACACAGATCATGTTTTGGTTAGAACCCAGGTTTACAATTCGCAACCCAATCCCTTTTTTGGTTAGAACCCATGTTTTGGTTAATTATTTCATTAAACATACACCTCATGTATTACCTTCACCCCCTTCTAACAGATAAACCAATTCATTAATACAGGAAAAGCACTATGCCCGAAACCCAAAGTCAAAAATCAAAACGTGAAATATTAGATCAAAAGAACTTCAGGCACAGATTAGCTTACAATGAAAGAGCAAAAGTGACAGAAGCAGCTGCAGCCCTAAACACTGAAGAACTTCCCCAAAAGAAACCTCGAGGACGGCCGCGAAACCAATCTAAACAAACGACACAAGGTTTGACTTCAAAATAAGTTACGATCTATTACAAACCCAAAAGTACATGCATATATATAATAACAACAAAAACTTTCAGGATCGTCATCAGCAAGCTGCCAACCAACTATGCAAAGAGAGAGAAACTCATACACCAACACAGAGCATATTGCTGCATTCAAATTACACGCAGCCACATACTGCATATACTGTGGAGCGCAACGTTTCATTAATGAACCACCAACATTTTGCTGCGCAAAAGGCCAGATTGTCCTTTCAAATCCCCCCACTCCATCACTGTTAAGAGATCTATTTTGTGGGACAAATGACGCATCAAGACATTTTCAAACATGTGTGAGGACATACAACAACACATTCGCTTTTACATCAATTGGAATTCATAACTATGATGCCAACTTATGTCGACGAAATAAAGGGATCTACACATTCAAAGTACAAGGCCAGATATACCATTTCATCAATGACCTGCTGCCGGATGGATGCCCACCAAGAAATTTACAATTGTATTTCTATGATACAGATATCAGAACAAGCGTTACAGAGCCATGGGACAAGAATGGACAAAGAAGTCATAGATACTATTCTCAAAGCTTTAGCTGAAAACCCCTATGCAAAATTCTTTGACAGCTTGAAGGATATGAACACTGTAGATGAGTTTAGTGTCATATAAAAAACTAATCCAACACTAGACCAAAGGGTATACAATATGCCTACAACGTCACAAGTTGCAGCCATTTGGGTAGAAGAAGATGCAAACGGAGTCAGTGAGAATAGGCATATTCGGGTATACGCAAAAGGTGGACATTCTAAAAACATCCAGTATTATTACAGTTGTTATGATCCTCTCCAGTATCCATTGTTATTCCCCTATGGCGAAATGGGGTGGCATGAAGGCATAGAGAAAGTATCTCGTAATCTCTCCCCAATGACAGACCAAGCATCCATAAACATAAATATCACATCCAATATGATTGGGAGCGTCACAGACCTCATTGAAGCTGAAGAAGAGCAATTCAACACCAGCCTACAAAAGAAAAACACAGTTTCATGCCGCGAGTATTATGCATACAAACTACAAATGCGGCCAAACAATGAGTCATTCCTCCTACACACAGGGAGACTACTACAACAGTTTGTGGTTGATATGTATGTGAAATTGGAAACTCAACGATTGGACTACTTTCGAAATAAGCAAAAAAACCAGCGTACAAGTACACTAAATGATATCGCACAAAGCATTGAGATGGGAGTAGAGTTTGGTGAAGACATTGGTAAACGAGTTGTGCTACCAGTAACCTTCATTGGAGGACCCCGCAATATGCGACGACGATACATGGACGCCATGGCATTGGTGCAACGCTTTGGGAAACCAGACTTATTCTTAACGATTACTTGCAACCCCAATTGGCCAGAAATAAAACAATCACTAAGGTATGCTGACGAAGCACAAAACAGGCCTGACTTAGTCGCACGAATATTCAATGGCCGAATACATGAACTCAAAACAGACTTGTTCAAAAGGAAGATATTTGGGGAAGTCTCAGCTTACACCTATGTCATTGAATTCCAGAAGAGGGGCTTACCACATGCCCATTTCCTCATAGTGTTAAAGAGGCACAACAAAATTATTTCAGCATCACAATGTGACAAAATCATCTCCGCTGAGATACCCGACTCAAACCACTATCCAGAACTATATTCAAAAGTGAAAAAACACATGATTCATGGCCCATGTGGACCTCTTAATCCAAATTGCACTTGCATGGTTCGGAAAAGCCCAAACCAACCACCGGACTGCAAAAGCAAATACCCAAAACCAAACACAGAAGAAACAAACTTTGATGAAGATTGCTTTCCCATATACCGTAGGCGACTTAGCACAAGCACAGTGGATGTAAGGAACTACACTCTTGACAATCGTTGGGTGGTCTCCTATAGCCCCTACCTATTGATGAAATATGACTGTCATGCTAATCTAGAAGTATGTGCAACTGTGAAGTCAGTAAAGTACCTTTATAAATACATCTATAAAGGTCACGATAGGATTGGGTTCAACATCCAACAATCGGAAAACGAGGTCATCGATGAAATCAGCAACTTCCAAAGAGGACGATGGGTTTCACCACCAGAGGCAATGTGGCGAATATATGGGTTCACAATGCCAGAGATAAAACCAGCAGTGATTCACCTGCCAGCCAAACCATCAATACCTCAACTTTTATGGGAACCAAAGGGTAAAACACATCATCGCTGGTGATATAAATCCACGCACCATGCTAACACAATTCTTCCACATGAACACCCATAACGAAGTTGCACGAAAACTAAATCTCTGCTATATTGAATTTCCTGAATACTTTGTCTGGCACACCCAACAAAAACTTTGGACCCAGAGAAAAAGCAAAGACGTAGTTGGAAGACTAGCATCGGTTAGCCCAACCGAAGGAGAACGATACTATCTTCGCCTACTACTTATGCACAACCGTTCACCAAAATCATACGATGATATGCTCATAGTTGACGGGTATAGGTGCCAAACCTTTAGGGAGGCTGCAGAGAAGCTAGGGTTACTTCTCAATGAAGCCAACATTGAAGAATGCATGATAGAGGCAACTACATACCAAATGCCATCAAGTTTACGAAGACTATTCGCAACACTGCTAAGTTATTGTGATGTACCAGATCCAAAGAAGTCATGGGAACAACATAAAATAGATATGTGTGAAGATATCATAAAGGACCAAACCATTACCATGCCCGAAGCAGAAAAGCATGTCTTAGAATCATTGGCGACTACTTGAATAGTATGGGCAAAAATATTGACGATTACTCTTTGGTGCCATACAAAGTGAACAACTCCCAACAGGAACGCATGGCAAGAGAGATTTCAACAGAATACAATATCCCATTCAGTGAAGCTGATATTGAAGCCATTGACAAACTAAATGCAGGCCAAAGAACTGCATACGATCAAATAATGAAAGCAATCGAATCAAATGTTGGTGAACTCTTCTTTGTGGATGGACCAGGCGGCACAGGAAAAACTTTCCTTTACAAATGTCTACTCGCATCAGTAAGAATCCGGAAATGGGTAGCACTAGCAACTGCAAGCTCTGGAATTGCAGCATCAATTTTACCCGGAGGGCGAACAGCGACTCTCGTTTCAAGATCCCAATAGATGGCCAGGATACACTAACATGCAACATTGGGAAACAAACCGTTGAGGCACGACTACTAAAAGAATGTCGACTTATCATTTGGGATGAAATTACAATGGCACACAAACGGTCAATTGAATCAGTCAAAGCACTCCTCAGAGATATAATGGGCAACAAACACCTATTTGGTGGCAAAGTTGTTGTATTTAGGGGAGATCTAAGACAAACTTTACCTGTCGTTAAGAGAGGCAGTAAGGAAGACATCATTGCAGCATCGTTGGTACGCTCTCACCACATTTGGCAAAATGTCACGAGGATAACATTGACAGAAAACATGAGGGCTAATGAGGACCCAGATTTTTGTGAGTTTCTACTACGCGTTGGAAACAAATCAACAATAAAATCGCAAAATCAATTGCAAATAAAATAACAATTCCATCCTCCTTCATAGTATCCCCACAAAAAAACCAGTCCCCAATAGCTACATTGCTTAAGGAAGTGTTTCCAAACTTGTCCAAATTCATTGATGACCCATACGACCAACTACAAAGTGCCATTCTAACACCTAAGAACCAAACAGTGGATGAGATTAATTCTACTCTTATAGAAGCTTTCCCAGGCACCCCACTTCACTCCTATAGTATAGACACACCCACCAACAACAATCACTTACATTGTGAGGACTATTTGCACTCTATCACACCCAATGGTCTACCACCACACATGTTAATCCTGAAAAGGGGTTGTCCTATAATACTACTTAGGAATTTAAACCCATCTGAAGGATTGTGTAATGGCACGCGACTCATTTGCAAAGATATTGAAGACCATGTCCTCAGTTGCCCAATAGCATTAGGTGGGAAAAAAGGACACCATGTATTCATACCGAGAATACCACTCGAGATATCCCGAGATGATGAGTGTCCAATTACATTTAAGAGATTTCAATTCCCTGTGAAACTATGCTTTGCCATGACAATAAACAAGTCACAAGGGCAAACACTAAAAACTGTTGGGATCTACCTGAAAGAACCAGTGTTTAGCCATGGCCAATTATATGTCGCCCTATCAAGAGCACAGAAGGCAACTAATGTGAAAATGGTGATGTGCGATGAAGAAAACCAAGACAAGATTACAACAACCACAGCAAACATTGTTTACGATGAAATCCTACAATACATAGACCCAGGTAATATATGCAAAACCCACAAATTCACATACCTAAATACACCACAACACATAACATGAATCAATATGCTGAACACCATTGACCAAAAACCATTTGCAAGAACTAATGCAACACTCTGAAGCTAATATTCATACAAGTAATAACAGGTATTACATCCATCAAATCATTAATTTGTATTTAGAGATGCTTTGTAATTAGAGAAATTTAATTGATAAAGATATTAATAATTCAATCATTCATATTTGTCCGTGGTTGTCATACTAAAAAGTGGACAAATTCATCTTTTTTCGTCGGAATACAGATGTTTCTCTCATCTTTATTCATAAATCAGGAAAATTGCAGGAAGATCTGTGGAATTGGTCCCATAGCATTTATTGCTACAGCACAATCCATGCCTAACTTTCCACAAATCTTGAGCTCTTCAGGTTAGTCACTCTGCTCTCTGTAAACATACTAAACTTCATATTCTAATCATATTTTATGTTTTTAAAATCTGGAACCTGTTCATGCTTTGTGGATAAACTAAACTTATATATACAAATATGAACTCAGGGAGATTTGATTTTCATGTCAAGCTGCATGTGCCTGCTGCTGGTGAACATTCTGCTATACTAAAACATGAGATCAAGAAGACATCATTACTGATGACCTTTGTTTAGATATAGCATCCAAATGTGATGAATATGATGCTTATCATCTGGTATGTAGTTGATACCAAATAAAAACAATACTTCACTCAAAGTCTGAATAGAAGTTCATGTGAATATTTGTATATCTTATTCTCTCCAGTAGCTATTTGTAGTCAATCAGATATAATACATGTAGTATCCATTTCAGGAAATATTGGTAGATAGATCGGTGCATGCTGCCATTGATCGTTGACTGTCTTGAATGCCTTTTATATGATTTTTTCCTTGGTAAGTATGCCATACATTTATTGGATATGGATAGAAAATTAATTCAATGAATGATCTGGAGCACTGTTGGTGCATAAAATAAAAATAGAAGATTCAGTAAAGTTTAATGCTTCTTATAATCATTGGAATCGAGGTCTGTGCTGCAGCTCACTTCAACGGTCACACCCATGAGAAGGTCATTACACCAAATAAATCAGGACTGTGGGATTAATCAGATATTCATTACATGACATTTTGTTTATAATCTCCACCAGCAATTCACTAATGTTTCTTCTCCGGTAGTTAACGTATGTTTCTTCCTGATATCCATGTGATTTTAAAACGTGTTAATCCTTTTTCCTGTAACTCAGTTACCTAACTCCTTGAATTGTATATGTTATACACCTGTTTCAGTTCCACATGATGTCTGTGCTTGCAGCCTTTCATTGTATTATTCTTGATTAAAGGACAAGTGCGTTATACTTTTTCCAATATCAATTCTATTATTCTCAAAAAATCATAATAACACTGCTTATTCGTATGATTTTTTATTGAGTCTATTCCTTTTTCTCGCATAGGTTTTATGGTCCAGATTATAAGCCATGTTTTTCTTCCTTAATTTCTATACCTTTTAGACTTTTAGATGCTTAAGTATTTGAAGTGTTTTAATATACGTAGATTAAGGGAAGTTACCTTCGTTGAATATTTTTAACCAAGAACATTCTTACATTATTCTAGACTATTCTGAACCCTTTTACTACTTTAATTTAGACAAGATTGGTCATAAAAATCTAGAAGTCTAGCTTCACATTATCATCTCAATACAATTGAACTGAAAATCTTTGTTTACTTTTTCTTCTATACACACATACACCTAAACAAACAAACACTTTTTCATGAGAGTTACTTTCATGCAATTCTAAATCCTATAATTATTAGCTTATATGCATGCAGAATCAGAACTACAATTCTATTCAATCTTTTGAATATGTCTACTCAAATCTCCATTTTTTGACCCATTAAAAAAACAAAAAACAAACCCCCCCTCACATTATATCAAAAAATAACAAGAATATATCTAGGATAAATCAAGATCGGGCACTTAAACCCGTGCAACGCGCGTGAATTGCTAGTATTTAAATAAGCATGTTTTGTCTTATTTGGCATTTTAGGCAATTGTTTACATTTTTACATAAAATGCATAATTTTAAGCATATCTATATTCTACAATTATTTTGGAGTATTATTTCTTTTTGACATATTTTTCAGATATATTTTGGAGAACAAAAGTAATGAAAGAAGAAATGAAGATTGGGCCGATCCCGAACATCTAAATGACCCAACATCTAAATGGCCCATTCAAATAATCTTTAGATAATAAAAAAAGAAAGAGATAAAAGGAAGAAAACTTCCATAAAAACAAAAGAGAAGACGCACAAGAGAGCATACCCCAAGGCGCAAGAACTGGAAATTCGAAGTGTCATTCTTCAATTCAAACACCGGCTTTATTAATAGAGAAAATCTTCATCGCATACGGGGAGGCATACGGGGAGGAGACGGATAGAGAACGGAAACAGAGAGGAGGAGACGGATAGAGAACGGAAACAGAGAGGAGGAGACAAATAGGAGCAGAGTAGAGAAGAACCGGAATAGGGTTCCGACCCTAGGTCCGGCAACGGGAAGATCCGGCGTGGCGATGACTCCGGCGATCATGGCTTCAGGCTCCGGTGAGGCACTCTGGCGGCATCAGGTCCTGTGCGGCAGCAAACGGAAACAGAAACTCAGGGAGCATTTTTGTTCTACATTTTTTAAAACTTTGTCTTTTTGCTGATAAGGATTCCATATTTATTTATTGTCAATCTATGAGTATGAACATCCCTTCTCTAATTACGTTCATTTATAGTTTCAATTCTTTGTTTGTTTAATGTTTAAGTTATATTATAAGTGTTGAATGATTTGACGGTTGATGTTGAATTGATCAAATTGATACTTTGAAGGAATTTTAGTCTTTGCGCTCCTGTCAAATCTAAATTCGAAAATGGTGTTTGAAAACTGGTCTTTGTTTGAACTTGGATTAGATCAATTTAGGACGGCCGCCTAAACTCTAATTCCAATTGACAGTTTTAAGATCTTGAGTACGTTCACAGCTAAGATTTTCAAAACACAAGTGTCACGTGGTTAATACTTAATTGGTTCCCACCCGGGTTTTATTAATCAGAGTTTTCAAACTAGCTATGTTAAATAGATATAGTCTACTGCATAGTTGTTAAGTGATGTTTTCCAAAGAACTTAATGCTTTATTTTTAATTAAATATGGGGGCATGTCCTTGGGTTGTTAAGAATATTAGGGTCTAGAGTTAGGACAGGTCTTAACATAGGCTATATTAGGGAGAATAGGGAAGAACCGCTAGTGGACCTCTTCTTCAGCTTAATCCCGTGTTTAATTAGCAGTTTAGTTTCAAGATTAAGACATAATTAATTGATTAATCAGATTTGTTCAGTTTATTTTCTATTAAAAACTATAAGTATTTTCAAAATGATTTAAGTTAATTATTATTGTCTACTTTTTTATAAAGTTTATTGTGTGGTTGTTTTTGTGTGTTTGTTTCTCCCTTAGTGTTCTTCTGAGTTCGAGTTGCTGTTGTGGTTCTGGCTCTTATCTCGTATCTGTTATCTGTTATCCTTTATCTTTATTTTATTTGCATTTTTATCCTTTTAGAATTATCATTCAAAACCCCCCATATCTGTTAGTTTAGTTTTAGATTTTAGTTAGCTTTTATTTAATAAAAGTGACAAGTGAATTGATTTTCATAACTTAAAAAGTATCTTTCCTCGTGGGATTGACTTTTACTTGCCCTAGCTATATGTTTTAATAAATATTAATTCATAAAGGGGGTTAAGAGTTAAGGAAAATAATAAATTAATTTGTAGGTGCTACGACACGCCTAACAGTTACGGAGTAGAAGAATATATTTGTTCTCCAAAAGTCTCTCAATCACGCAGCCCCAATCCCTTCAAATCCTCAATCAAGCCACTCAACCCACTAACCTCTCCACTATCATAATACATCCAAAATAATGGAGTGTATTTCTTACCATTTTGTCCAACAATGCCATCCTAATCACAACACAACTCTCATAGTCTCTCTCTTCATCCTCTCTCTATGTCGGCCAGCCTTCAAGGAAGGAGAAAGGAGACTCCATCTCCATTGTTGTACCAAAGTAAGAAAAAGAAGAAACCAGAAGAGTGTTCAAGTCCAAAATCCTGAGTCCAAAACGCATCAGCAACTTCATCGTCAATCCTGTAATTTTCTATCCATTTTCTCGAATTGTTTATTATACCAAAATTGTAGCTCTAGATGTTACGAATCCAACCTAACAAATGGTTCGTGATTTCGTTAAGTAACAAAGGAGATATGACAAAAATACCGGGACTGCGCCTGTGGTGGCGAGCTCCTCGGGTTGGCTATATTTCTTCGCCATGTTTATATCGTTTCTTTCCAAATGTTTATCGCTCGCCTATAAGAAACTCCCAAAGGTTATTATCAAGAAGGTTGGACGTCGGAAGCTCGAAGTTGATATGGGTGACCGTACATTGAACGTTCGTTGAGGCGTATTATTATCTTTCTATCACATCCGTCTTCTACGATTTCAAGGCGAGTACATTGCACGCTAGTAACGCAATCCTTGGTTGAATATCAATCTAGATATATCGTTAGGATTGATTGTCATATTATAAGTCATCTATGTTTTAAGATCAAACTCATCAAACTCATAAAGTTAAAATATGTTTTTCTTGATACTCTTCCACACATGGATATATAATTGTTAGAAATACTTTAAATACATAGATATGTTAATTATAGTTGTTAAAATGACTTAAAGAAGTATTTTAGACATCCAAAAATATAAAAAAATAAGATTTGCAGACAAAACGGTCGATGTAAACGGTCAACCATCGTATTAAACTTCAAAACAGACCACGACTATCAGTAAAACAGTCGACCGCCACCGACGAACAGTCGACCACCGCCAACCCAGCCGAAGTCCGTCGTCCTCAGCCAGTCAACAATGGTCGACCGCCGGTCAACCACGGTCGACCGTCATGGTGAACCGAAATCCAAGAAATTGAAGTAGATCACGGTCGACTGCCGTGCCAAACGATCAACCGTTCCGAATCCCGTAGCTTACTTAAATGATATTTTAATCATGTTTTACCCAAATAAATTAATGTATAGTTACATATTCATATTGTTTACAAATTGTTCATATCATATGAATCATTTCATCATTCATATTGAAGCATATCACATCATATGCATGCGTAAAAGATCATGCCTCGTGCGTCTCTTATAACGTGATTGTGTGGGACTTACTAGTCTGACGTCACACGTTTGGGCTTAGTGTACGTACATGGTATTCAGGCTTTCGAGTACAACTCCCTTTTTTCTAGTCTCACCCGACTAAGATGGCGTGAGTTCATCGTACCAAATGGGCGAATCTCATAGCGCAAGGGTCGTCCTTGCACGTTAGAATCATACAACATGAAATCATCATCAAGAACAATCATAATGACTAGTAAGACATAAATTACATATCATCATCATCATCTTGAGCACACATGCTATAATATGTCATATCATGAATAATTGTATGTCTACTTGCTATTCAACTTGGAATTGTTGTATTAGTGTATTCCTCAGTGAACGGTGAGCGTGTAGTTTGTTTTACTTGCTACACACATGTGATCATGGAGTCAATCCCGGAGGTAAATGAGAGTGATGAGATATACGGACTGGTAGACCAAAATCATTATGTTTTCTTTAAATAAAATACCTTTTCGGCGAGTTCCCAGAAAATGTAATACGACTTGATTATGTTTAATATTTAAGCTTCTGCACTGTTTCAGATATTTCTCCGAAACTTAATATTTGAATTTATCATTTATATTAATGTTTAATTGGTTTTAAATTATTCATCAAATTATCATCCGTAATTACCATCATGGTAACTACTCAATCTTAAATAATCTAGGTAATCGGGTTATTCGAGTTGGAGTGTTACAACACCAAAATTAAAAATATAACCCAATTTTAATTCAAAAATCATATTTTTGAATTTCATAAAGTCCAGAATCATATTTTGACAATTTTATGAATTCTGGTAATTTTTGAAAATTATATACATATACTCCCTCCGTCCTCCTAAGATGTTCTCATTTTGACTTTTGGTGGTTTTTAAGAAGAGTTGAAAAAAGGTAAAAGTTTACCACAATACACTTAATGAAAATGGATGGAGTGTATTAAATGAGGTGGGTGAGGTGTAATAAATAAAGTAAATGCGAATAGTTGTGGTATTTTAATTGTTAAAAAGTGAAATGGGAAGATCTATTGTGGACAATGAAAAAGAGCTATTGGGAAGATCTATGGGAGACAAAGGGAATATAATTTAACTTATCCATTAACAAAAACTCTTCAGAGGTTCTATAAAGGATTATTCTCCATCACCCGACTTCACCCCCAAATAATAGTGACCCATTTATGCTAATTTATACTTTCACTCTTCAACTATCAACATAAATTATTCTTTAAATGATATTTTATCATTATTTTAGTAACACACTCTGTTCAAGATAAAATTTATTCTACCTTTTATTTTTTATTTGGAAAAAGAACATGTAACTTACAACATTTTTCTCTTTCCATAAAATGTTAACCACATTCTATTCAACACTTTATTTTATGAAGTCAAACATTATACTCCATTTTAGAAGAAAGATGTATATAAAAGTATAATAATGGTCAAAAACGTGCTTTGAAGACTGAAAAAACAATAATAATGTTTTTTTTTAGGAAAAAGGGCGTACCCATCCCTGAAACCGAGACCAATGGAACAGTCAAGTTTTGATGAATAAGTTGACCTTTAATCACTAGATGAAGATTGGAGTCTACAGACTACAATAGGTACTTATATACCCCATGTTGTATCCTAGCCTAACAAAATTAAACTCATGTCTATCCCTCTTAGCACTCCTTATCAACCAACTGCGCTATTTAGAGACGGGAAGGGCATACGTTTTAAATTGATATTCATAGAGTATAGAACTAGGGAGAGCAAGGATTGAGAATTGCTCTACCTAACGTGTGCATAACGACAGGGGAGATTGCCATTGATTTTAGAAAAAGCCCATTGTAAAGAGAAGTCATTTCAAAGGAGCTCCAGTTTCCATATTCAAGAAAAAGAATGTATGAGAAGAAAACTGATGTGAAAATAAGCAGGAAATAAAAAAAATTTTACATTTTAGTAAGCCCTCTACGATAGCAATTTTAAAACGTAGACCCAAAAATTGTTTCCAAACTCATGGTAAGCAGTCCCAAGGTAGCTGTGGTGCTGGAATCCTCTTTCATTATATACTCTAAGCATAAAACCAAGTAGTGTTCCTCTTACAGGATGTTCAATTTCAGTTTTAAACATCACACTGGCAGCCTGCAAAAAAAAAACTAACTGTAAAATAATGTCCTAGTACGATTTAACATGTCATTCTGAGCATCATAGATATCAATTGGCCTGCCATACCGGTCACAGACGAAGCATCATATCAATCAGTGGTAATCCCAAGGCACATTGCAACGGAGTACATTAGTCAGTCTGTACCCGAAAACATGTCATCTTGAGCGTCTTTTTGATGCCCGGCGCTTACTAAGAAGAAGTTTCAGACAATAATCAAGATGATGAAGGCTTATGTCAATAAGATGATGTCACAGTGATGATGGCATATGTTAGGAGTTCTAGGATTATACCACCTTACTTTTCACATTATTCT